TCGTTTATTACAATAATAAATACGAAAGACCACAGCCACAAGTTGGCTTGTTGGTCACCTACTCTAACAGTAAGTTGAAAACCAAATCCATTTCCTTTCATAAACTCAAAAAATATTTGAAACCGGATTATTAATTTTTTTTTTCTTTTAATAATTGTTGAAACCAGAGCATCCCTGAGTGGTGGAGATGGTATTATTGCCTTGGGCAAACCCAATTTCTTGAACGCTGTACGGTTTGACGACGTCTCAATTTGGAGATTTGAAGAATTATATATTATCGGGTGTGACGGTGAAAGAGTTCTTAAAAAGCTACTTTGGTTTCAAACGCGATTTTAGCAGTTGCAGGCATGCATGTTGCATTCATTTTAACGTTTGGAATTGTCATTAGATTTTTCAACTTCCTGAAGAGATAAATTTATGACTATGTTATTCTATATCATATAAGTTTTTTTTTTTTTTTTGCATCAAATCCCTATAATTTATTCTATTGTCGAAAAATTCCCTTTTCTAATAGGACTCTATCGGAATCACGTATCTAATGCATTATCCCGTTATAGTTTCTAACGATGTTTCAGGGGTGATTGTAACTAACGATACTATAGGGACCTTAAAGTTATTTTAGCATACCTCAGGGGTGTGAGTGTAATTTACCCTAAAAAATGTATGGTTACTGAAAGTATAATTACCCAAAAACGGATTTGAAAGCAAAAACCCCATTCAAATTTCGTTCTAATTTAGACCGAAAGATAGGGAAAAATAGTTCTAATTTCGTTCTGTTTTCGCAGAAAAGATTCGTTATAGATGCAGAGTGATTTTTCCATCACCATTTGAATTGGTATTTATTAAGTGTTAGAGTTTGGTTCTCGTAGATTGACTATACTATGCAAGTACAAAGTAATTTCTAGTCTTTTCAGTTTAAAAGGGGATTTGGTTTGTCGATTCAGAAACCTTTTTTGTTTATACCATTACGCAAATGCTCGGATTATATGTATTGAGGTTATTTGTTTCTTAATTCGTCTAGCTTGAAATCATGTCCCGTTGCCTTGTGTTCTGGAACTCTATCATTTTAATAATATTCGACATTATTTGGTTTTATTAAATCAGTATTAGAATGTAATTTTTTGATGATATCTAGCATCTTAGGCAAAACAATTCCTAATTTTTGTTTGTGTTTAATCTGCCATAGCATTTTGCTATTCTATTATGAATTTAAATTAAATGCTTCCTCTCTCATTGTCTCTCTCCACAGACGGCTAGAGGATAACACATGAACGAGTTGCATTTAGATGGCTAGAGGATAACACATGAACGAGTTGCATCTTGGTAGTGAAATGGACTATTTCATATAGCTATTTTAGTTGTTGTAGTGTGAAACGATTACTACTGCTAGCCAATAATCCAACTAGATCTGCCTTCGACAGAAAATCGATAATAAATCATAACCTGCATTAAACGAACAAAATTTATGCTAATTTATTATATGAAAAATCATTTTAAAAAAATCAAATTGTTTTATGTTTGAAACCACTAAAGTAGAAAGATGTTGTTTTCATTCCTTATTTTGTTGATTTTTGAGTTTCGATATGTCAATTGTTTTTCACGTGGGCAATGACTCGTTGACCCAAATTAGGGTTTATATAATGGATTTGTTGTCGTTCAAGTTGACTTTGAATGATGAAAGAGATGTTGAAGTAGAGTTAGAGAAGTCAAATGAGATGTTGTTTTCAATTATTTTTTTTTTTTGATTTTTGAGTTTCGATATGTCAATTGTTTTTCAGATGGGCAATGAATCGTGGACCCAAATTAGGGTTCGTACAATGGATTTGTTGTCGATCAAGTTGACTTTGAATGATGAAAGAGATGTTGAAGTAGAGTTAGAGCATCTTCCAACGTCGCTATTTTTTCACCAAATTCTATTTTTGGTGGTGAAGATATAGGTTTATCTCCCACCATTAGCACATCATTCTGCAATTTCACTACTTTTGGTGAAGAAATAGTGTATTTGGTCTCCCACAAATTATGTCAAATTTTACACCAAATAATAAAATAATAATATTACATCATTTTCCTATTTATAGATTATAACATTTGGTTTGGTCTCCCATGACATTTCACCAAATATATCACAAAATAATAAAATTAATGTTAATCATAATTTTAGTATATTTTTCAAAATATTAATTATAGATCCGATTATAAATATATTGATTATATAATCTAGTTGGTCACTTTTATCTCACAAATGTGTTACCAACCTTCTTCACACTTCATATATTTATTGTTTAAACATATAACTTATCAGGCCCAAATTTATTTAAAAATTAATAATAATAATAATAATAATAATAATAATAATAATAATAATAATAATAATAATAATAATAATAATAATAATAATAATAATAATAGATGTTTTCATTCTTTTTTTTTTTTTTTTTGATTTTTGAGTTTCGATATGTCAATTGTTTTTCAGATGGGCAATGAATCGTGAACCCAAATTAGGGTTCATACAATGGATTTGTTGTCGATCAAGTTGACTTTGAATGATGAAAGAGATGTTGAAGTAGAGTTAAGAGAAGTCAAATGAGATGTTTTCATTCTTTTTTTTTTTTATTTTTGAGTTTCGATATGTCAATTTTTTTTCAGATGAATAATGACTCGTGGACCCAAATTAGGGTTCATACAATGGATTTGTTGTCGATCAAGTTGATTTTGAATGATGAAATAGATGTTGAAGTAGAGTTAGAGAAGTCAAATGAGATGTGTTTTCAATTTTTTTTTTTTTTTGATTTTTGAGTTTCGATATGGCAATTGTTTTTCAGATGGACAATGAATCGTGGACCCAAATTAGGGTTCATACAACGGATTTGTTGTCGATCAAGTTGACTTTGAATGATGAAAGAGATGATGAAGTAGAGTTAGAGAAGTCAAATGAGATGTTTTCATTCTTTTTTTCTGTTTTGATTTTTGAGTTTCAATATGTCAATTGTTTTTCAGATGGGCAATGAATCGTGGACCCAAATTAGGGTTCATACAATGGATTTGTTGTCGATCAAGTTGATTTTGAATGATGAAAGAGATGTTGAAGTAGAGTTAGATTAGTCAAATGAGATGTTGTTTTCATTCCTTATTTTTCTTTTTGATTTTTGAGTTTTGATATGTCAATTATTTTTCAGATGGGCAATGACTCGTGGACCTAAATTAGGATTCATACAATGGATTTAAATTAGGGTTCATACAACGGATTTGTTGTCGATCAAGTTGACTTTAAATGATAAAGAGATGTTGAAGTAGAGTTAGAGAAGTCAAATGAGATGTTGTTTTCATTGCTTACTTGTTTTGATTTTTTTGAGTTTCGATGTGTCAATTGTTTTTCAGATGGGCAATAACTTGTTGACCCAAATTAGGGTTCATAGAATGAATTTAAATTATGGTTCATACAATGAATTTGTGTCGATCAAGTTGACTTTGAATGATAAAGAGATGTTGAAGTAGAGTTAGAGAAGTCAAATGAGAGAACCGAGACAACAGTTAAGAGAATTAGATAGAGGAAGGGCCAAAACTAAGAGAACGTTAAGGAGATGGATACAGAAGTATGACAATTTGGTCCATCCGGATAGTGTGGTTATTGACTATATGTTGATACACCACGAAAATGCTTAACGGGTTGGATGCGACTCGCATGACTTTATTCAATGAAATCGCACAGGCTCTACCGGCATACTAAGCCCAACAAGCAATTACAAACGCACTCAAGGCGGAAAAAAAAGAGATGGAAGGCTTATTGGCCCCCTTGTTAGAATATTACAATTCAAAAGATTGAAAGTATGTAACCGTCATGGGTGCGCTGATATCAAGGCGATTAGTTATATTTCGGTCCTGCTCCCCCACACCAGCTGAAATTCACCTTAGGGCTTAGTTTGACTGAGACGAAGATTAAATCGATAAGAAAAGTTACACGTGAGGAATTTGGTATTGAGGAATTCATCTCAGATACGTTATACCAACTGAGGAATCATGAGATAGTTAGGCTTACATGAGACGAATGTTTGGATTTTTTTTTTCGCTTAATGGTTGAAAGGTTTGTGTAGGTTTTGGAGCGTCTAATTAGGCTTATGTTTAACGAGTTGAGGGAGCAAATGGATGATCGAAGGACTTTGTACAACCTATACCTGGTGAAATACACCATATGTTTTTAAACCGTACATCTTCTATAGATAATAATAACACACGTTCATGTGTTGTGTATTTGTGTTTAGTAGATAGTTATTTTATATAGATATACGGTTTAAAACCACATATTGTATTTCACAAGATGAAGGATCTCAAAAGCCATGATCAGAGGTGGTGGAGCTGCGAGGGTCCATAGAAGCATATACAACAGTACTAAAATGTATCCAAATAATAGTTTCAGGAGATTCATTCAATTTCTAGAATTCAAAAATTGCCTTATTTTTCGTAATAAAATGAACTGGCATCTTAGTTTATTTGTTGAAAGAAATAAATTTATTTATATGAAATAAATAAATTTATAAATAATTTATCATCCTTCCGTATTTTAACATATAAAAAGATGCACATTGCATACATTTTTAAGTACACACTGTAACTACATCTAAATTTAGTCCATGACGAAGAAAAGAAAATAATATCATCTAGATATAGTCCATGACGAAGAAAAGAAAAAAACATATTATTGAACAAAGTTTTGAGCATAACTTATAAAAAGAAATATAGAGATTTTTCTCAAAAATCAATAGATGAATCCAAACCGTTCATCTTAACTGGTCAACTCATACTAACGGTCAAGATTTATTCTGATACAATTGGTTGCCTTATGTCATAATAAAAGAAAAATCACACGGTATTTGCTTCCATCCAAAGTATCATCATTTAGACACACCATTTCTTTTTATAATAAATAACCAAACAAAAAATATATATAAAAAAATAAAAATAAATAAATAAATTAAATGAAATAGAAGAAATTACCTTCATACATGGATTGAAATTTTTTAACACTAGCAAACCCTCTGCTCTTTTTTCTCTTTCTAAATTTCACATATTAATAGGCGCACTTTCTCTCTCTTGATCCCAGCAATTCGAGTGCGTGCGTGTTCGTCGATTTCGTCACTCGTCGGTCTTATACTCCGATCTCCGGCGTTAGCCTGATTGCCGAACGTACTGTGAAAAAATGGTTAGTCGTTTTTCCTTTTTATCCGTTTTTACTAATGTTGATTACGCGCCTCAGATCTGGTGCTTTATTTGGATTTTGGGGCTGAATTCCTTGTTTTTTTGAGGTCTAATTGGGTAGAGATTTGGCATTTGATTGCTTTGAATTTCAGTGATTTGATTTGATTGGTTGCCGCTTATTTTGAGATCTGCAGCTGCTGTTATTGTTTGCTAACTCAATTTTTTTATTTGATTTGATTTGATTTTGATTCTTCGTGTTGAATTGTTGTTCTGCTGTGGTGCTGCAGCCGCTCAGACTAGAAATCAAGGTACCGAAACAATTTAACTTGTCGATTTGGGTTTGTGTCTGTGTGTGTGTGTGTGTGAATGAGTGATTGTTAGAGGCTGATCCTTTTAATTTGGTTTTTTAAATGTAATGACAGAGGAAACTTGCACAAAGATCAGAGAGAGTGAAATCTGTGGATCTACATCCAACAGAGCCATGGTATGTGTTACACATTCAGTCAATTTCATACGGCATTTGCTTTTCGCTTCTTCATTAGTAGTAGCAATTGGCATTTTCGTGATTGCGGAAATGGTTCGTGGTCGAATTAAAGTTAATTGCAGGAAAAGAAAAAAACCTTGACTATAAAGTTGTTCTTCCGTGTTTGGCATTTTGATAATTTTAGATAACCGACAGTTCTTGTCCACATGTATTATCAAGTTATAAATACACTATTGGGATTTGATATGTATTTCAGTTTAATTCATCTGAAGTGTTTTCTGCTTCTGTTTCTTGGTTGGGGTGTTTATTTATATTTTGGATGGTCTGTTTTCCTAATTTTCCGATGAATTGGAGAATAAATGTGGCTTTGCATGTGATCTATGTATATCTTTTTTAAGTTTTGGTAATTTTATTGATTCGCTACTCTGTGGTACTTCTGCAGGATATTGGCGAGTTTGTATTCAGGGACTGTTTGCATTTGGAACTATCAGACCCAGGTATGGAAATGCAGCTGACATGAATATTTTTTTGTTGTCATGGATATGATAAGAATTTTTGATCACGTGGATATTTTTAGGATGTTCGTGCAACCCTTTCAACTTATTTATGTAACATCGAAATGTGAGGGATATGAAGTTATCCGCTATCCAAATCATTGCAATCTCATTGCATGTTGTGATGAATGGAACATAGTTGTTCCTGTGTTTAATATCTTAAAAAGGGTGTTGATGTTATTACTATCATGTTGTGGATCAGATGTTATTACTATCATGTTGTGGATCAGAAATGCATTAGTTATCTGAAGTTTTGTCGAATGTACTTGCTCTATTGAACTTCCAGGTTCATTTATGTTTCTTTTTCGGTATTGATATTACTTTCACGACGATGAATGCATTTGAGGAACACTTTTTGTATAACTTATGATCTTATGGGTTCTTTCCGCTTCACCAGGCAAAGTAACGGTTTGATATTATGCTAACATGATGTGCCGGGGTAATAAATGTTATGATTAGTTATTAACAAAATCGAACTCCAATCTCGTCTCCTCTCCTTGAAGGCATATGTGACCGCTGGATTCATTAAGATAGACTTTGATCATTTAATTTAATAGTTTGCATCTTTAAGAGGCAAGATTTTGTTAGGATAAAAGAATTAGTGGAACACTATCTGTATCATAACTTTGCATAATGATGACAAATATGCAACCAATTAACGGGTTTTGCGATGTTTACAAAGATTTAATGCCTTCTCTCGTTCTAGCTATTTCAAATTGAGTTTCCTTCTGTTGATTTCTTTTACCCTGATTACATTCTAAAGCTTGATTTCTGCTGCTGCAGACAATGGTTAAATCTTTTGAAGTTACAGAACTACCAGGTGCATGATTTGAATTATTTGTATTTCTAAAGTTTGTAATACATACTTTACTAGCACCTTTTCATCTTGTCGAGGATCACCTTAGTTCTAATTCGTACATTTTTAATGTTGCAGTTAGGTCCGCGAAGTTTATAGCCAGAAAGCAGTGGGTGGTAGCTGGGGCTGATGACATGTTCATTCGTGTGCACAACTACAATACGATGGATAAGGTCAAAGTATTTGAGGCCCATACAGATTATATTAGGTGTGTGGCAGTTCATCCCACTCTCCCGTATGTGTTGTCATCCTCTGATGACATGCTGATAAAACTCTGGGATTGGGAAAAGGGATGGGCATGCACTCAAATATTTGAGGGCCACTCCCACTACGTGATGCAAGTGACGTTTAATCCTAAAGATACCAATACTTTTGCCAGTGCATCGCTTGATCGCACTGTTAAGGTCTGAGTGGAATTGTTCATAATTCAACTTTGAGAATTTGTTATAATTTAACATGATATTTATAAGTCGGTAATGTTCTTTTTGTAGATTTGGAATCTCGGCTCTCCTGACCCAAACTTCACCTTGGATGCCCACCTGAAAGGAGTCAATTGTGTCGATTATTTCACTGGTGGTGATAAACCTTACATAATCACTGGTTCTGATGATCACACTGCTAAGGTTGTCCCATGTTTTGTCTTTTTACTTCTTTTGCCTGGAGTGTCTATTATCAAACCTAAACTTACCTGAAGAATTTGTAAAACAGATTTGGGATTATCAGACAAAGAGCTGTGTCCAGACTCTAGAAGGCCACACGCACAATGTTTCTGCGGTTTCTTTCCATCCTGAACTTCCCATTATAATTACCGGTTCTGAGGATGGTACAGTCCGCATATGGCATGCTACTACTTATAGGTTAGTTTGTACTAGTAGATGGCTGAGTTCTGGACTATACTCTTTGACCTAAATCATTTCCTACCCCACTAAGTATATAAGTTAACATTTATTATTGCATGTACCATGTTATTGAATTTTCTTGTAGCATAACAAATTAACATTCAGCGATGCTCATGCTAAATTTTAGGTATTGACGATAATCTTTTGCTTCATCTTGGATTCTTTGTTTGATGGGAATTGGCTTATCGAATGTGAATATCCTTTCATTTGTATTCTGATATTTTCTTTTGCGTCAAAATCAGACTTGTTCTTGCTGAAATCATATTGTAAATTGTATGTAACCTTTATACTTAACCTTCAGTATGGTCATAATTCCGCAAATGTCATTCATCACTTAATAGTTGGTCACTATCTGTAAACCATTCTGAATCCTACTAAATGAACTCCCATTATTTATATAGATGTGTATATTTTTTTTTGTGTCTGTCAGTTTTTATGTAGATTTATCTAATATTTAATTTCATTGTTTCATCTTTCTTACATAAGATTTTAGTTCCCATCGTTGTTCATCCATAGATCGCTAACAAGTTTTTTCATCTTGCAGACTTGAGAATACGCTGAATTATGGTCTTGAAAGAGTTTGGGCAGTTGGTTGCATGAAAGGTTCAAGAAGGTAAGTTTATTTGCAGTGATCTGATATCATGTGCTAGTTGATTGATTCTTGAATTTATTTAAGGATTGGCTTTATGCTGGCATTTGGTGAATGCAAGAGATTTCAATTAAAGTTGTATGGAAATCTTGAGTCACATCTTGCTGAAAATGGTGATGTAAATTTTTTACTTGTTTTTGAGCAAAATAGCCATCTGTAAATTATGAATTTCAGTGTCCCTCTTAGTGTCCAAGTAGCTGTTTATTGGCTTTACTCAAGGTTTCTTATCTGATGGGATCAAAATTTGGGTATATTAGGGAATCTCACTTGATAAATTTCCTTACATGTTCCTTTTTTATTTGGACACTGCATCTTCATTTGATGGATTCAATGTGCAGGGTTGTAATTGGTTATGATGAAGGAACCATAATGGTTAAGCTCGGTCGGGAGGTACCTGTTGCTAGTATGGACAACAGTGGGAAAATCATTTGGGCTAAGCATAATGAAATTCAGACAGTCAACATTAAGAGCGTCGGAGCAGATTACGAGGTACTTAATTTTCTTATCCTTGAGATAAACTTCTTGCAATTTGCAAAGACAATTGCTTCTCTGAAATTCTTTTAACATTTTCATCAGGTTGCTGATGGGGAGAGATTGCCTTTGGCTGTAAAGGAATTGGGAAACTGTGATCTTTACCCTCAGGTTATTTTTCTTTAACCTACTCGAATCATTTGTTGAATTCATTTCCGTCCTTGTAGTTTTAATTCAAGCAAGTTCATGCATATGTAAACTTCAACAACATTTTCCTGTTTCATCTACTTTCTGTTCGGTTATCATCATGTTATCTATGTTTCATGTTGTTTACTTTATATTGATTGAAAGAGTATTTGGATCTTCAGTTTTGGAGCTTTGTTTTCTTAGTTGTTAGATTATTTGATGATTGTCATGCATGGAATTTTGTAAAATGTTTTGGCTTATTACAAAGATAGCCATCTCAATGCAGTAGTGGGTAACTTACGGTCTGCCTGCTGGAATGCCTGAACCATTTTGAAGTTCTTATTTGATAAATATCCTTATCTTCAATGTTTATGTGATTATCAAATATCATTGACAGATGTTGTACATTGTATGTGGATATTTTCTAACCGAGCAAGTTGCTGATGTTGTACGTTTTGTGTGCACAAATCATTTTTATTGTGTAGCCAAGCTTTTAACACATTATGCATTAGAAAGAACATTCAGGGATAAACTTATAAAGGCTCTCCATCTGAAGTTTTAAGATTTCAATTAAAGTATGCATGGTTTGCCACTCAAATATGCTAAATTGCCAAGTTTTTAATAGTTTGAGAAAATATGTTGAAGATCACATCGATGAGGATGAAGTTTTCTTCTTTTCACCCTACCTTTTCCGTTTGATTGTTTTCCTATCATTTGCAATTAATGTGCGGTAGAGGAGAATTGAAAGATTTTGGATGAAGAAGATTAGGAAAGGGATGTCTCTTTGATCATCTTCTTGGGGCTTTCTTCAAGGATTATATTTGAAATTAGCTCTACTGATTTTTTGCTACTCTATGTTGAAATTGTAATAACTGTGATGTTTATATCTTCGTTTTGCAGAGCTTAAAGCACAACCCTAATGGTAGGTTTGTTGTTGTGTGTGGAGACGGTGAGTACATTATATACACGGCCTTGGCATGGAGGAACAGATCATTTGGCTCAGCATTGGAGTTTGTCTGGTCAACGGAAGGAGAATATGCTGTCAGAGAAAGTACATCAAAGATTAAGATCTTCAGTAAAAATTTCCTGGTTAGTTTTTTACCTCTGACTTTTTCCTTGTAATATTTCTTCGTTCTAGTTTCTTTTCAAGTTTTAAATTCTTACTTTAACTTGTTTCCTGCTGCATTTAGCACCACTGTGATGCTTGGGCCAAAACTTGTTCAATATCAAAGTCGAAATTTTGTTGTTTCCCTAACAATTCCCCATCCTCTGAAATAATGGCTTAGGCCTGTCATAATTGTTTAGCTGTTCATACATGATTTCTTACTATACAGTGATGATGTGCATTTGTAGCATTATTCATCACTCGGAACCTAGTAGTCTATACTGAGTTCTACTAGGATAACGATTAAAATTTTGTTCACTTTCAGGAAAAGAAAAGCATTCGTCCCACATTTTCTGCTGAGCACATATATGGAGGCAATTTATTGGCAATGTGCTCAAATGATTTTATTTGTTTCTACGATTGGGCTGAATGCAGGTTGATAAGGCGAATAGATGTCAATGTTAAAGTAAGAAAGTTACTGTTTAACATTATTTATTAGACATGTTGCCGTATACTCATAATCCGCATTTTATCTTTTCTTGCAAAATATATTTCAGAATCTGTACTGGGCTGATAGTGGTGATTTGGTGGCCATTGCCAGTGATGCATCATTCTACATACTTAAGTTTAACGTAAGCGTACTATCCATCTTGATTATCGTGTGAATTTGTACCCAAGTTGTTTTCAAGGATGTTTTTTGTAACAGCATTGTCCTTTACATATTGCAGCGCAATGTAGTTTCTGCTCATCTGGATAGTGGAAGATCGGTAGATGAACAAGGCGTGGAAGATGCTTTTGAGCTTCTTTATGAAATTAATGAACGAGTACGGACTGGACTTTGGGTTGGAGATTGTTTCATTTACAACAATTCTTCATGGAGGCTTAATTACTGTGTTGGTGGTGAGGTATGTTTTACTGTTTCCTAGCTGTATTACTTTCAGAATTTGAGAAAGAAATATATACTTATGGGAAGTCATGTTTCTTGTGTGGTTTTTAGGTGACAACTATGTTTCATTTAGACCGGCCCATGTACCTGCTCGGGTATCTTGCTAATCAGAGTCGTGTTTTTCTCATCGACAAAGAATTTAAGTACGTTATTTAGCCGCAGCTGTTTTGGTCATGATTTGTTTATTGTACATGTGGAGATTTTTTGCCGCCTTTAATTAATAAAACAAGTGCATGTGAATTTGATTCTCTCTCCTTCCTCATTTTAGTGAAGAGATTGCTTGGTTCTTGTAACTTTCGTTTATGTCTATGGATCTTCTTTTGCAGTGTTATTGGATATACTTTGCTGCTCAGCTTGATTGAGTACAAAACTCTTGTAATGCGTGGGGATCTGGAAAGGGCAAATGAGGTCTTACCTTCAATACCAAAGGAGCACCATAACAGGTTTTTAGCATCTTTAACCACTTATTTTACTACTCGTTTATTTACTTATTTGTCACTGCCCATTTATGCACGATAATCCATAATAACTTCGCTCAAAACTAATCAATTTGTACAGGTCGGGTTACTTTAAGTTACTGAAAGAGTCCGTTATCTTCATAATTTTGTCATCTCATATTCTGATTTCATTTTTCTTGTTGAACTGTTCTTTCATGAACGAGAACTTGATTGCTTTATGATCAACCCAACGAGCCTAAGAGTCCTTATTCTTGGTATACCAAGGATCCTTTATCTGTAATCAACTATATTTTCCGGTGTCTAATGAATCAGCTGAATGTTGGCGTGCATGACGAAGTTCTTACTTAATGGACATTCGTTGCTTAGTATCTAGCGTGATGAGAGTAATCCTTGTTCCTTGCAAATTCTTTTTGAAAATTGGAAAACTGTATCAGAAGGAAATTAAATTCCTGAATTGGCTGGTCCACCGTCCACCTCTTTGCATTTCTCATCTTATCTGATCCGGAGGCATAAATTCCTATAACCAGTTATTTATCTTGATTGTGGGGTATAAATTGGTTTTGTGGACAGCGTGGCTCGTTTCTTGGAGTCAAGAGGAATGATCGAAGATGCACTTGAAGTTGCTACAGATCCCGACTACAGATTTGAGTTAGCCATACAACTAGGCAAGCTAGACATTGCAAAGGTAAACACTGTCAACTTGTTGGGTTGGGCCGTTGGGGTATATAGACTAAATTAACCAATTAGCTGTAGCACTTCCATTAAGTTTTCAGAAGTTCACTAAAATGTTCTCTCATCTTCCGTGTGTAAGTTTTCTGCTCTGGATAAGTTTGCAGTTCTTACAAGTGCACCTTCTGTTATTCTCTACAGGAAATTGCCACAGCCGCACAAAGTGAATCTAAATGGAAGCAACTGGGTGAATTAGCTATGTCTACTGGAATGGTATTATCTTGATCATTATCTGAGCTGAAAGTGCATAAAGTAACTTCAAAAATTGTAATTGACGTTCAAATGGTGATATAGTTGTCTTACAAAAACGCCCAGAGATCTCCCCTTTTCTGGAAAACAACCTTGCTGAATATGTCAAATAAATTGCGAAAATTTTCACTGACGAAATGATTTTATTTATCATCTCTCTCTCTCTCTCTCTCTCTCTCTCTCAGGAATTTTGAATAGATACATGGATATCTTCAAGCCATATCCCATATTCAGTTTTGAGTAGTTATGCTTCTTTTTTGCATTTCAGTTGGAGTTGGCAGAGAAGTGTTGAAGCAAGCAAATGACCTTAGTGGTCTGTTGCTGCTCTATTCGTCGTTAGGCGATGCTGAAGGAATTACTGAACTTGCATCTCTTGCGAAAGAGCATGGGAAAAACAATGTTGCATTCCTTTGTTTATTTATGTTGGGTAAATTGGATGACTGCCTCCAACTGTTGATTGACAGGTAGTATCTTTCATTACTTTATATGGGTGATCTACCATTTAGTTATGAAGTCTTAACAAAACACAACTCCTTTGCAGCAACCGAATACCTGAAGCTGCTTTGATGGCTAGGTCTTACCTTCCAAGTAAGGTGTCAGAAATTGTTGATCTTTGGAGAAAGGACCTCAATAAGGTTATCACTCAATTTTTTAGCCCGTTCTAATTTGGTTGGTTTAGGAATGAAAGATGGATGTTCTCTCAATCCAAACTGAAAGAGGAGAGATGAAGTTGAGTCATTTTATTGTTGTCTGATCTGATTTGATAAAATGTATAGATTAATCAAAAAGCGGCAGAATCTCTTGCGGATCCAGAAGAATATCCAAATTTATTTGATGAGTGGCAAGTTGCACTTTCTGTCGAAGCTAAAGCTGCTGAGACAAGGTATTTCAACTTTAATTTCTTGCAGCTCTTATTATCAGGACTTATTGTGTAAAAATACGCACGATGTCAAATTCCATTGTTGGTAAAATTAGTCCTATCGCCATTTTGATGAATATGTTAAAAATGGAAACTCAATTCAAGGCGATTATGTCATTTATCTTAACCTTTTTTTCTTCAATTGTTGGGGAGTCGAGAATAACTTGTTTTCCACTGGCGCTGTAGGGGTAACTATCCTCCGGCAGCTGAATACGCGCAACATGCTGATCGATCAACCGCAAGCCTTGTAGAAGCATTTAGAAACATGCAAATGGAAGATGAAGAAGAACCCTTGGAAAATGGAGGCTTGGACTATGAGGTAGAATTGAATTTATTTCCATTTGCTGGATTTTTAATTTTATCTACCGAGTAAAATATTTCGACATAAGAAATAGAAAGAGGATCCTTTTCGATGAAACTGTATCCCAAGAAAATAACGTTCCAGATCTAAACTTAAATTTTATGCAATTTCTTTTAACGGTTCTAAGTACGTAATTTTTTCCGCAACTTTATTTAGGATGCAGAGCCAAATGGAGAAGAGGGAGCTGATGACACACAAGTAGAGGAGCATGATGAGAGTCAAGAAGAGGCTGTTGTGGTGGATGCTGACTCTACTGATGGTGCCGTACTTGTTAACGGCAACGAGGCTGAGGAACAGTGGGGTACGAATAATGAAGGAAAATCGTCATCCTAAAAGCTATTGGTTGGGCCGAGTGTGAAAATCCTAGTTTTGTTGCTGGTGATTAAATTGATTTTCTTTTAGTTGCTTGTCGACTTGCGGTTTTTGTAGTCAGGATACAGTTTTCTTTATTGAGGTCCATTTGTTCGTCTATGTTTTCATTGCATCTTGTCACCTAATATCCACTAGATTTTTTAGGATTCAGCTAATAGTCATTTACGTGAGAAATCATTAATTTTAAGACAAGGTTGGCACGCAATTTTGTTGGGATAAAATCATTTTTCCGATTTATAATACTCAAATTTCATCGTAAAAGTTTTCACGACTTGTTTGGAGACGAAGTAAAAATTTAAAGTATGACCTTGTCAAGTTCAAATATTATCGAATTACTCTTGTTTCTAGCATCTTCATATTATTGTCTGGTCATAATGCATCACCGTTTACTGACAATTCGTTTCAACTTTCAAAAAATTACTGATGGAGCTTTATTTCTTTCCCTTCCCTCTCTTTCTGATATGGCAGTGCTTACACCACGTGGCTGAGTCAACTCAAGACCAACGGTTCCAGCTGTCTAACTATTCATCGTCATGGTAAGAATTGATGGTTTTAAATATAAGTTTGTGCCGATATTGATTATTATTCTACAGTATTGAAGTTCATTAATTGGTCTCGTCGTTTTACTACGAATTTGTCATTTCTCACGACCGTTGGTGCTAAAAGTTTTTTTTTTCTTCCCCCCTTTTTTGACTTGATTCGCAATTGCTACCGAGTGTGGACATTTTCTACACTTTTTCAGTGCATTATGATGTAATCCGATCGAATAATTTGCTTCCATTATAAAAGACCCTGTGATAAACAAGACCACGTTTTCTCATGATTTTATAAACAAGAAAAGCTTGGTTCGGCAAGTGATTATCTTACCTATTTTTGATTGACCTAATTGCATTGTGAAAAACTTCGTGTTAAACGTAAAAGATAAGTTTCTTGTCGACGTGTCATGAGTTTGATTTATCACGTGCCATTTGTATTTGGTAAGAAAAAGGCTCGTTCGCTGCAAATTCCTTACATACGTTTTCTTTTCCCATATTTATGAGATATTTTTCTTTCATTTTTCTTCAGCTATGGTTAGATGTGTTGCCTTAACGAGGTGATCAAGGGAACCGGTGCGTCTTTTTCTGCCGGTGTGGTGACAAGCACAGACAAATTTTTGTCGTGGGAGCACACAATCAATATACTGTAGACTTTTCCGAGTTTCGGTTATTAGTTTAGTTGCGGCTTAGTTGTACCATTTAATATTTATTTGATGCCATTTTTTTTTTCTTTTCTTGGAAGTATTGTGTTTGTGAATCATAGATACATAATAGCTACTATGTTACAAATAATTACGCGTCGAACGTCGTATGGTTGATTGATTACTCTCCGAACATAATTTTTTTCGGGTTATATTATTATGAACCACCTCATTAGATACAAAAAAATTGTGTTTGTAGTTGTACACACAGGATGTGTAAGGTGTTTATTCCAAATTGAAAGCATCTGTCAAATAAAAGTTCTATATTTATTCTATTTGTATTAAATATATAATATTATGTATTATACTATGAATTCTATTTATCATCAATTTTAGAAATAATTTAGCCCAAGTACTTATGTTGAATTAATATTTTTTTTTGAAATTAATAACAACAGCTTCATTTTTTCCTTTGAAAGAATTAATTTTGCAATAAATTTTTACTTTTTTATTATGGAATTATTTGATATATTTTTCCATTTATTTGAAACAAAAAAATAAAAATAAAATATAAAATAACATCAACCAAGAGAAAATAAATAAATAAATAAATAAATGAAAATAGAAGGGAAGAACAAAAACCGAGAAAAATAAAAGGGCTCACTCTCAATCCATTTATTACCATCTTTCGCTCTTTCATTGGGCTAGGGTTTTAGCAGTTTCAGACAAAATTGAAAAGGGAAAAAGGTTAGGGTTTCAATTTGAAGCGGAGCCAAACCCTTGAAAGATTCTCGCCAGGTATACATATCTATCCCCCTTTCGTTTGTTTTTTTGTATCTATCTGTATGTATGTACGATTCTGTTTTCGTTTTTGTTCAATTCGGTAAATGTGGTGTTTTTATCCCCAATCCCTGCACCGATTTAGGTTTCCATAATAGGTCATTTTTTCATTTTTCTTCGTTTCATCTATTTTGTTTCGCGAAGGTAGCTTTTGTCGGTTTACGATTTTGTTTAATTCAGCGAATTTTTTGTTGGGAAGCTTGTATTCGATCTTCTGTATCCGTTGGTTTTTCTTTCTCTCTCTCTCTCTCTATTTTTTTTAGCTTGGAATTTGGATTGAAATCATGTGCCTTTTTGCCTTGTGTTGTTCTGGATTGAAATCATGTGCCTTTTTGCCTTGTGTTGTTCTGGATTGAAATCATGTGCCTTTTTGCCTTGTGTTGTTCTGGGATTCGATATTAAAATTTAGGTAAATGGGAGGTGCAGAACATTTTTTCAATATTCTTTAAAATTGATGCTGATTTTCTTAGTAAGTCGACTTCGTTTGGTAATTTCGTTGCTGGAACTTGCGAAAACATGGTGGATCAGCTGGCTAGTTTTTCTGAGTTTTTATTATGATTTCGTGCAGACTGCTCGTTTTCTATTAGGCTGAAGGGGTAAAGAGAAAAAGAGAATCATCACCTAGATTTTTTTACGGTAATCTGCCATGGGTGACACAGAAAGCAACTGTCAACCTTCGAAAAAGAGAGCCGCCGGAGTACAACTATCCCGTGAAAACCCTGGTCTCGATGACAGTGAAGAAACATCCGAAAACGAGACGGGCACCTTTAAAAAAGCACCCGAAGAGGTTCTTGCCACTAGAAGAATCGTCAAAGTACGCCGCCAGCAAACATCAACCGCCGCTGCATCTGCATCAGACCCACCTTCTGCCCCGAATCCATTCGCTTCTATCCAATTGGTTACTCCTGCTTCATCTGCTCCGAATCCGTTTGCTGCTATCACCTTCTCTCGTCCTGCTCCTCTGGTAGAGGTAGAGGCACCTAAGAGTGACGAAACCGAGAAACAAGTCGATGAAATCAAATCCGAGAACAAGGTTGATGATGAGTCCAAGGGCGAAGAATCTACTGCAGGGGAGGAGAAAACCGACCAATCAATTGCTGACAAGGACGGAACTGATGATGTCAGCAAGGTATCCGATGAGGTTGCAGAAGATGGGGCTTCTTCGGATGCGGCGAAAAAAGCTACAGAAGAAACCGAAGATAAGGAGGAGAAAGAATCTTCTGAAAAGAATGCAGAAGCTGCACCTTTAAACTCGTTCCAGCAGCTATCAAGTGGCCTTAACGCTTTCTCTGGAGTCGCAGGAACGGGGTTTTCTAGCGGCTCTTTCTCATTTGGATCGATCACTAAAGACAAGTCTCCTGTGGGGTCCACTACCGGTTCCCTTTTCGGTTTCGGTGCTTCTAATAACGGGAGCTCTTCTTTCTTCGGTGGCGCCTCGGGTGGAGCGAGTATTGTCGGCAAGAGTGAGGGCAGCAAGATTCCGGCCATGCAGGAGGTTACCGTGGAGACAGGGGAAGAGGATGAGGTGGCAGTTTTCACCGCGGACTCTGTGCTGTTCGAGTTTATCGATGGTGGATGGAAGGAGAGAGGGAAAGGCGAGCTGAAAGTCAATGTTTCGAGTGTTGGGACTGGAAAAGCGAGGCTTGTTATGAGGGCAAGAGGGAATTTTCGGTTAATTCTGAATGCGAGTATTTTTCCAGACATGAAGCTGACGAATATGGACAAGAAGGGCGTGACTTTCGCGTGTGTGAATAGTGCAGGTGAAGGGAAAGAAGGGCTTTCTACTATTGCGTTGAAGTTTAAGGATGTTTCGATTGTCGAGGATTTTAAGGCAGCTGTGGTGCAGAATAAAGGACAGGCTACTGTAGCTCTGAAAACTCCGGAAAATTCTCCCAAGGCCGACGATGAAGAAAAATAAGCATCTTAATAACGGTAAATTTGAGAAAACGAGCACCTTGATTTTGGTGTTTTTTGAGAAAATGGCGTACTTAAACGTGGTTTATTTTGGGGAGTGGGATAATGTATGGACCCTTGTTCGTGTAGTTTTTTTTTTTTTTTTTTTTTTTTTTTTTCTTTCTCGTTTTGTTGTTAAAATGCCTTGTAGACCTTAAATGAATTCTCTCTCTACGCTGTTTTTCGGCTTATGTAACCTGAGTTGTGCTATTATATCTTATGCTCCACATACTCGAAAATCAGTTCCATAAAAATTGCTGTTCGTGTAACGATGTTTTTTTTTGGTAAATTTACTCCGGTTTTGTGCTCTGTAATTTTTCCCATCTTCATTTAAGCTATTTGTGAGCTATTATTGCATTTATACAGAGAAAAATATGACATTTGCAGATGTGCTTCATTTGTTGTCATACATTCTTTTGTAATAATATTTTGACATACTTGACAATTATTTTATGATGCAACAGTGATGAAACGCCAAAACTATATAATAGATGATTCGAAGTTCGAACTGAAATTTTTAACTCTTTCCTACTTAGCATCTGACACGTGTCAGTGCTTTCACATCCCTAAATCTGTCAATTATTTCTCAGCAGCATCTTTGTTCACGGGTCCTTTTACGATAGTTACGGTGTAAACGAATGGAGTCGAGTTTTAAAGTTATGTTTGAACTTGGTTTGATTAGCAATCGTGTTCAACTTGAACATTTTTTTTTTCCGTTCTCTAATCGATTTCAAGCTAGAGCCGAACTTCATAGATTATAGAAATCGAGCTCAAACAAGCTTTGAACAATCAATCTCGAATCTACAGAAAGATTACAAGATACTAATAACCCCCTGGAGGAAGGTATACAAATGGATTAAGATTAATACTGATGTTTAATTAATCAACAACACCTTAATTTTCCGACTAAAAAATGAAGTTAAAAACATTCATGAAATCGATCGGAAAATCTTCTAAGGTGACGATGAGTAGCTCTTGACGCACTTGTTGGAGCAGGATCCCACGCATCCATCCACCTTTTCTCCATCTGAAAGAAAAAAAAACACAAATAATATCAGTATCAGTATCAGAAAATCATAATCAGAATCAGAATTAGAATCAGAGAGAGAGAGAGAGAGAGAGAGAGAGAGAGAGAGAGAGAGAGAGAGAGAGAGAGAGATGATTCATTACTGGGAGTTCGTTTGGTGCTGAAAGAAGAACACATGGAGAAAGCGCAGCCGAGTTTGCAGAATCCGAGGTTGTCGGAATCTTCACTAGCATCGTTCTGAATCTCTTGAAAGATGCAATCTTTCAAGCAATGCGTGGTGCACGAACAAAGTGTCTGCGTAGGCTCGATCATGCAGAAGATGAAGCACTTTGTGTAGCAATCTTTGAAAGAGGCAGTTGATCTCTCTGTCAACATTCCCACACACAAAACTACCAAAACAAATGCCCTTATCAATTTCCCCATCTCCATCTTTTTGTTTTTATTAATTGTTATTTTCAAGAATGTTTTTGGCCTATGAGAAGCTCGTGAAAAGCTATTTATAGCATGAAAACACGGGTTTATTGCATTTAGTACCCCTGTATTGTATCGAGTTGCTAAAAAACTACCTCATGTTATTTTATTAGCAAATATGATTCAATTTTTTTAGCTCAGAACCCCCTAAACGGGGTTTACTAATTGCTACAAAAATAAATCATATCAGGATTTTTTTACGAATAAAATAAGATAAGGTAGTTATTTTAGCAGTTCGATATAAGACAAGGGTACTAATTGCAATCAACACACACATACACATACATATAGGCAGGGGCGGACCCCTTTTGGGTACGGGGGGGGGGGGGGGGGGGGGGCGCGAAAAAAAAGTTTTGGGGTTAAATAGTATAAAATTTTAACTTTGGGGGGCTAAAGTGTATAAATTAATACATAAATAAGCCAAAATATTAAAAAAATAAAAAAAAAAGGTAAAATTTTTTTTTTCTGCAGGGGCGGGTGCCCCCCCCAACAGAAGCCTTGGGTCCGCCCCTGCATATAGGTTTGTTCTATATATGCTAGGATCAATGAAGTTCACTGGATTACATTTTATTATAGACGTGTACGTTCATACTTTAAACATATTTACACGTATATATGCGTCATTGTTGTTTGTAAATCAAACCTGAAAAACTGCAAGACTCGTGCATATTGTTATCCGTAGATGAGGTTAAATAACCAGCCATCAAACACACATACACCTAGATGTGTGTGTAATTCTGTGCAGATCTATGGTTAACAAACAGGCGATGTAGCATAGAAATTCTCATATACATATGTCTTTAACTCTTATACACACATGTGATGTATACAAGGAATATATGAATATATTTAATATATGTAAGTGTAATGATTAAAGAAATATAAAGCAAGTTTAGTCATGTGAGTGGCCACTAAGCCATTTTGTAATTTGGTGCTTAAATTAAACTTTTCTTGATCTAGGATTTATAGATAAACATTACTCGTCATCGTATTACTGAAATAAATAAATGAAAAATATTGACATTAATAAGTGCTAAAAGCCTACTATTGCGGCCAAGTATTTAACCTGTAAGAGAGAAGACAATTGGAAAACAGTTCAATTCAATCAATATATATCTCACAAAGTTTAGGCAACATGTGATTGTTATTTGTCTTCACATATATAGTATTTATTCTTTACTAATTTACAAAGTGTTGTAATAAATGACTTTATTAAGTTGGCATGTTGGTTGGAGTAAGTGAGCCCGTGTCGATTGATCCAGATTTAAATCTCTTTGTCAACGGTCGTTAGGTCAAGCTGGTCACACATGGTTAACCTAATATGGTTTACATTTTTCGTAAAACGGTATGAAATGTTGGCGTATCGAAATTTCGGTTAAGTGTTACCGATTTAGCATCCTTAAATTTACATCTGGAGGACTTTTTTTCATAAGATAAGACATAGTTGAGGGGTGACTGTAACTACCCAAACAAGAGGGAGGGTTTCGTAATTTAACCTTAATTTAGGGGTGGCAGTAAATTGCCCAAAAATAAAGAGTAAACTGCAAAAAGTACCCCTGTGTAATCTTCAAATAGCAAAAATCCCCCTGTGATAAATAAACTAGCAAAAACCCCCCTGTGAAATTTAGTCAAAGGCAAAAACCCCCCGGTTGACTTAAGTGTGGCTCACTCGGGGGTTGCGCGACTGGTAGTAGGTTTTTGGACGTGAAATGATTAAATTCTCCCTACAAATGTATTTATATTTATATATATTATATGTATATATATTTTCCTTTTAATTTGATTGTTTAGAAATTAAAATATTATTAAAAAATAGTAAATAATTAACTTTAAAAATTATTAAAAATTTGTTAATCAAATTAAGTATAGATTTTTTTAAATATATAATAACGGAATTTAAATTTTCTTTTAATGTAGCGATAATTTAAAATATATACAAAAACTATGTGATAATAAAAATAAAAATAAATTAAAGACCCCATTGTACCTTTACAATTAAGATATAACAAAAATAAAATAATTAAAATATTTAAAAAATATAAGAATTTATTAATTGCAAAATCCTGGGGGTATTTGTGTCTTTTTATATGAAGTCAACACTCAAATGATAAATGGGCCGAGTGTGCTATTTAAATAATTTCACAGGAGAGTTTTTGCTAGTTTATTTATCATAGGGGTTTTTCGCTATTTAGAGATTATATAGAGGTACTTTTTGCAGTTTACTTCAAAAATAAATAAAATAAATAGATGAATATAAATTACAAGATGTAAGTAGCCCGTGGGCTACTTTTAACCTTACATTTGGATTGTCGCATCCACCATTTGCATTTCCCCTCACGGGTTGTTCGCACATCTATAAAAAAAACACAATACACACAAATACACGCGCCCGCGAGCGCGCACACACACACTTTACTTTGTATACATGGACGACATCTAACGTATAAAATACTTCTATTGAACTTCAAAATCGACCAAAACAGTATTAATGGTGAATGCATGATTTATTGTGTTTCGATGGTGCAAAATACTATTAAATTTTTTCGAGGGTGTATAGTGTCAAAAACAATATTTCAAGGGTGCAAAATGGTATAAGCCGAAATCCAAGCCCGAAAAGAAAATTTCGTGAACCGAATCAGAATTTGTAATCGGATTATTTTAACCCTGAGATAATTTAATTTATTCAAACACAAACTATATTGGAATAATACGTGTAAGTAAATAAATAAATAAATAAATAACAATGATATATATGAAGGGCGGTGGTGGAATTTAGAATAGATGTATACAATTAACAACTGACTAGCACACATACATGTGGGTATGTATGTATTATTATGAGTTGATATATTGTTTAAAATCACCAGCTATATTTTATCGGTGTAGCATCTACAAAATCGAACTCGACTTAAAAAAATTGCTCCCTTTTCTTGTCACATTTATTTATTTCATTGACATCTGTTTTGGTTGGTGAATTTGTCTCTATCTAAACTAAAAGATGATTTAATTTGTAGAATTATATAATCAAAATATTTCATTATTACATCAAAAACACATTTTCAAGGCACCTAAAAAAATAATTTCAAAATATTATAATCTTTGTTAATAAATTATTCTTTTAAGGAATCCCATTTTCAAAATCCGAATGAGACCTTTGATTATTCTGGATTTTGCAATAAATAGTCAATAAAATAGTTTGATATTTTAAAATTATCTTTATTACATAATCTTACTTTCTATGAGTAAGAAAGATTAAACTAAAACACTAATTAATGTTGCTTGTGGGTGCAATCCTCAGAGCACAAACGCACACATTTTTCCAATTTAGGAGGATCTGCATAAACAATAAAATGTGACGTCATCATACATCAATAATAATAATAATAACCAGAATATTAATTTATATGCAAATTAAATTAGGGCAAACAAATGATTTATTTAATTATTTTTTAATATATATTCACCTGAGGTGAAATTTCTGCACTTGGAATTTGCAAAGGCAAAAACACAATTGGAGAGGGATTTTGATTTATTTTTAGATTTCGGATTGTCACAATTCTTTAAGCATTCACTAACACAAAGGGGTCGACTGCCACCGATGATTAAGCATTGTTTCGTGCATTTTATTATGCATTCGACCGACGGAGATTGACCTTTTTGCCCTCCAACTCCGACTAGTAAAATTATCATGATCGTAGTAATTATAATCATCCCGAAATAATTCCTATTTTTCCCCATGTGAATTTTATATATACGATTTCGATATCGTCTTATTTTTCTCTACACACTGTGTTTCTTATATGGGTATAGACAATGCACACAAAAATTAAAGGGATCCTTTTTTTCCAAAAAAATAAAATAAAAAATCGGATCATCTTTTTCGATTTTCATTTGATTTAGTTTAACAAAAAATTAATCGGGTTTTACGTAATATAAACATACTAGGGATATCAGAACAAATAATTAAATCAAGGGTTCAACTCTATTTAATTTAACATGTTAAATTAAATTAAATTCACCTTTTTTTTATAAATAAAAAGGATGAAAAGAGAAAATCTAAATATTAATTTGATGCTCATCTTCATTCATAATCCATCTTTTTTTTTCTTTATTATTTATTTATTATTATTATTAATTTTTTTCTTTTTTCTTTTTTTGCATTATTACCTGAGGTAAAAAGTTTGCAGTGAGAAATAGGACAGCCATTTATGCACTGGAAATTGGCATTTGAAATTTGATGGCAATTCTTTAAGCATTCAGCCACACATAACGGTTTCCTTATAAGGAAGCATTCTAAGTTGCAATTAAATATGCAGCGATTCGGTATTTGGCCGCCGCCGCCGCCACCTTCTGCCGCTTCTCCGGTCGTAAGAAATTCCATGCATATAGATACAAAATATATGATATTTATTCTATTTTTATCCATTTTATTCGAGTTCTTTATTTTTCTTCGACTTAATTATCTCAAATTGTTTCTTATTTAAAATGTGGATCGAGTTCGATTCATACATTGACCATGGAATTTTACGACGAAAAGTTATTAAGTTTCTTTCCCTCTTAAAGATTTCGGACTCTTATCTATGTGTTACTATCATAATTTACTCTAATTTCCTTTAATTGTTTTTGTTAAGCATCTCTATATATAATTAGTGTGAAAGCCGATCCGAAATGACGAAATAACCTCATCCCCACCCGAATAAAAATTGCTAATACGGTAATTAAACGCGAGCAACAACAAAAACAACAGTAATTTCATCATACTTCCACAAATATTACCTTATGTAAATTACATTTTTAATAAAGGAATCCCTAGCCAAACTGTATGGGTGCACTAGGTAAATATACTGAAATAACTCGCAATGAAAATAAGTGATAATGGCATTTTGCCCACCTGAACTTTAACGTGTTTTGCACGTTACCTTCCAATTTTTTTTTTGCACAATGCCCCCAAACTCAATTATTTGGATCGCATACCGTGAAATCAAGAATTTCCGGCCAGGACTTCACGTGAAATGCAAGCATGTGACTAGCACGTGATTTTTCAAGGGCAAAATCGTCAAATCAACTTTGTTTAGTTTCACCAATCATGTTCTGCCACATCATAATCTTCTTCACCACCATTTGATATGGCCAAATAATATAGTTTGTGGGGGCATCGTGCAAACTTATTTTAGTCTAGCCGTAAAAATAATTTAAATGACAGTGCAAAATTGTGATAATTCAATTCAAGTGACAATTAATTAATATAATTACTATTGTACCATGATACTAAAATGCTTGATTGATCAGATTGTGCATGCATTGAAAGAATCCGAACTTACAATCTCGATTATTTATTTAATTAATTATTTTTTTTATTGTCATCATAAAATATCATATTCCAACAAATCTCAATAATCCAGAAAAAGAAAAAATTGCCGTAAAAAATAAATAATATATAGTATGTTAATTATACTATTTATATAATAGTAATTAAATTACCTATATACCTATAGTATGCATTTGTCTCCTATAAATCACCCTTGTTCATGTTAGAGAGAATCAACTCACAAGAACAAATACAAATAATTTTCAAAGGGTATATTCGGAAGAAAAAATATGGAAGGAAAATTTGTTATTAGAACAGCAGTGTTTGTGATTTTGGCGAACTTAGTTTTCGCGTCGAGTAGTAATAGTGGAGTGGACTCGATAAAGGCAACGTATAGCGAGTGCTACTTGGGTTGTGTTGGTCCATGTTTTACGAATCCGATTAATTACGGGTGTATAATTGGTTGTCAAAGGCTTTGTACTGCTTGTGCACCAAATTGCAAATATCAGAGGCCGGTTTCTTCTTTGACCTCGTTTTGTAACGTCGGATGTTCGCTCGCTAAGTGTTCCGAAATCAAAGGGTTAATCTCTCTCTCTCTCTCTCACTCTCTCTCTCTCTCTCTCTCTAAAA